ACACACACACACACACACACACACACACACACACACACACACACACACACACACACACACAGAGTCCTCAGATGGAGCTCACATCCTTCAGACTCAGGTTTAGAAAGTTCTGCTGCAACAAAACCACATAAAGATTTCTTACCTAAAAGACCCCCCAGGAAGCACAGGGATGGGGGGACCATGTTGGTAGGCTTCAAAAGCAGCACAGTGTGCATGTGCACACACATACACACACGGGGGGTTCTGGTTTCAGGTCTTTGTGGTTCTGCTGAGCCCTCCAGAGATGCTGAACAGCTTCGTGTCTGAAAACACAAAGAAGCAAAACTGTCAAAAAACCTGAAGCTGACAAACCACTCAGGTGGGGCAGGTCCCAGGTTCAGAACCCAGACCAGTCTGTTCAGAACTCCTGGTGACCAAAGATGGAGTAAAAATCTACACATTTATCGAAACGACAGATCTGGACTCAGAGATCAAAGTTCTGCTCTGTTATTACCACATGGCGCAACGTGTTATTAACACATGGCCAAAATGTTATTAACACATGTCATTACCACATGGCCCAACATGTCAGTACCACATGGCCTAACGTTCCATCAAATCTGCAAATAAAACACATTTAAACAACCCTGACACATTAACCAAATCATTCACATATAAAATAAATAACTTTGGTCCAAGTACAGAACCCTGAGGAACTCCACACATAATGTTACAGAGTTCAGATCTTACTTCTTTATCTGTACAAATGTTTCCTTTTTTTTTTTCAAATAACTAGATATCCACAGTAGTACTGGTCCTCTAATGCCATATTTGTGTAGCTTTTCAAGAAGAATATTGTGGTCAGTGGTGTCAAATGCTTTCTTTAAATCATCATAAATACTAACACAGTATTGTTTTTGATCAACAGCAGTTGTTATTTGTTCCATCAATTCCATAAGAGTCATTGAARTAGAGTTATTTGCTCTGAACCCATAATGACTGCTACTTAAAACATTCTGTTCATCGATAAATTGATCCAATCTAGCTACGAATAATTTCTCTAAAATCTTTGAAAACTGTTGTAACAAAGATATTGGTCTATAGTTATTAAATACACATTTGTCACCATTCTTAGAGTGAGGGATTACTTTAGCTATTTTCATGTTGTCTGGAAATATTCTAGTTGAAATTGATAAATTATATATATAAGTAAATGGCTCTGTAAAAGTCAGTTATGTCCTTCACCAACATCATATCCATGTCCATCCAGTCTTTTGATCTTTTATCTGCAAGATTTTTTACAATAGGTATACTCCATATTTCTCCCTCATCAGTTTCATCAAGAAACATGCTGTTGACACAACCCATGACAAGTTACATGACATGTTATTACCACATGGCCAAAAGTGTTATTACCACACGACCCAATGTGTCATTACCACACAGCCCAACGTGTTATTACCACACAGTCCTACGTGTCATTACCACACAGTCCTACGTGTCATTACCACACAGTCCTACGTGTCATTACCACACAGCCTATGTGTTATTACCACATGGTCCTACGTGTTATTACCACACAGTCCAACGTGTTATTACCACACAGTCCTACGTGTCATTACCACACAGTCCTACGTGTCATTACCACACAGCCCAACGTGTTATTACCACATGGCCTATGTGTTATTACCACATGGTCCTACGTGTTATTACCACACAGTCC